GAAAATATCCATTTTGACCGCTTTCGAATACAATTTAACGATGTTGTTGCGTGATATCTGTACGTAAGGACAGAATAAAATACTCTTTTCCTTCAAAAAAATTATTAAAACTGCTTTAAAATTAATTCTGAAGAGAATTTTTCGTGGGCGTCTGTACGAACGTATGTACGCACGTGCGTACGTTCGTGCGTACGTACGTATCTCGCATAACTCAAAAAACGAGTAGCCTCAGAACGTTGAAATTTTGTATATAGGACTGCTATAACATGTAGATGTGCACCTCGTATTTTGGTTGCAATCGGCCGCACCAAACGTATATAAATATATTTATATATATATCTACTCTGTTACCCGGCTCAGTGATCTCAGTTTCTTTACTCTTATATGTTTGTAAATTGTACATTTTCTGCTTAAAAATGATTGAATTATGTTGTTTTTATCCTTCGGTTAAGGATTTTGCCTTTAGTAAATCTGTGTGCAATATGTTTAGAATTATCAGCAATTTTAAAGTTGTTTAATTGTCGCTTAGCCTGTTTTAAATGGCGGCCATTGATGTTTACATTTGGAACAGGAGACTAGCGGATTTGTTGCCAATCTAGACAAACTTAGCTTCGCAACAACAAAGATAACGCATTCATTTATTATTGCCAATTAAATAATGCTTAATTCTTTCTGGAATTTTTTCGAGGAAATAAGTGTTTGAGATTTATTTCGTAATTTTTAATATAGATATTTTGAGTTTTTATGTATTTTTGCCTTCTTGCGAAGTGAGAACTGCATTAATTAAATGAGAAATATTCAATCGTCTGTGAAAAACTGTTTCTTTTTTGTTTTGTTTTCTTAATTTCTTTTATACGTCATTCTAGCTTTATTATAGTATTTGAATAGAACATTTGGCAACGATTAGATAATTGTCGCTTAGCCTGTTTTAAATGACGGCCATTGATGTTTACATTTGGAACAGGACACTAGTGGATTTGTTGCCAATCTAGAGAAACTTAGCTTCGCAACAACAAAGATAACGCATTCATTTATTATTGCCAATTAAGTCATGCTTAATTCTTTCTGGAATTTTTTCGAGGAAATAAGTGTTTGAGATTTACTTCGTAATTTTTAACATAGAAATTTTGAGTTTTTATGTATTTTTGCCTTCTTGCGAAGTGAGAACTGGATTAATTAAATGAGAATTACTCAATTGTCTGTGAAAAACTGTTTGTTTTTTGTTTTGTTTGCTTAATTTCTTTTATACATTATTCTAGCTTTATTATAGTATTTGAATAGAACATGTGGCAACGATTAGATAATTCTATTCTTTAAATTATATAAATTTTGTGCATTATGAGTTACAATATGAACGAAATATATACGTTAACTGTTATATATAATTATTGGATTATACAACAGTTAACTTAGTTTTCTTTATGTAATTATTATGTAAGTTAACTGTTATATAATTATTAATACTGTTAGGTGAATCTAGCGCCAGAGTGTCGCTATGGTAAACAAATACTTGAGTGAATTTTAAAGAATGCATTTATTCTATTGTGGTTTATGCGCTGTCGGCGAAGTAAATTTAATTCAATCCAATAAGTTTAAATTAAATGCAAGAAAAAATGCGTATAATTTAATATTCCAATACAAGGAAGTCATGTGGTGTACACATCAGATTTTTTTCTTAGAGTTAAGAAAAGTTATCTAAAAATAATATCTAACTTTCATACAGTTCTCATAAATGGAAAATTCCTGTCAATAAAGTATTCGTTGTGCTTTATTAATTTAAACTTTTGTAAAAAAAAAAAAAAAAATAGTCAAACAATTTATTGAACTCGGAATGTAATCTTATATTTCTTTCCGAGCATCCATAAGTGGATGATACTTTTCCATTGCAAAAGGAAAAACAATCAAATTTTGTAAGCAAGCAAAATATGTTTCTTTCTTTTAAAATAACGTGCATGTAACTGCGAACGTCATATACTGAAACTATACACGTGTATGAAGTGACTCCGAAATCAGTCTCCCCATCCATATGTATATGTTTGCGTGTGTGTAAAATATAAAATATGAATGACAATCAATAATAAAATTTGGTAATAGACTTTTAAATTTCTGATTTTAAATATAAATACAACCGCTTTGAAGCCTGCTTTGAAGCCTGCAGTATATCTCATTGCAAAATCTCTTGCCCAATCGCTATCCAGAATTTATATCAAGAATTTCCAAGCTATAAATACTACAGCTACATTCTGCGCGTCCTCTTTCGTCCTGCTAAATCACATCTCTTCCCTAAGTTCTATTTTCTTTGGTGTGTAAAATGTATCGGCATGTACAAAATTATGGGGCACTTTTAGCAATTCTAGTTTTGTAACAAGTAAGAAAAAGGTTTCATCTAAAGAATTGTTCCTATTAAAAATGCAAATGATGTTTTGCCAGTTGTGATTTTTCCTCCATTCATCATCCACTCAGCAGTTTTCTTGGCCATGGTTGAAAGGTGAATTGGTGCCTTCCCTAAACTATCCTCCAGATTATTCACAACCAAACAAATCGTCAAGTCTTAAAGTCGTCAGGATTTGAAAGCGGAAGATGAAACCAATTGCGTAGCAATCGTGCTGAGGATGGAGCTAGCAGATAATGAGAAAACTTCTGCGTAGATGATGACTGGACAGAAAATCGCAACTGGCTTGATGGTTAAAACATAAAACATCAGTTTTACCTTTGAACAGGAATAGTTCTTTAGAAACAGATTTTTTTCTTTCTTGGTACAACATTTGAATGCTAAACGTGCCGCATAATTTTGTATACGTAATTACACTTTACACAACGCAGATACTTTGGTTACATATTCTGGTTTACAGCTGGAATTAATTCCGCTCTTACCAGAGCTTATCACGGAATACCATGAGGGGCCTCAGACATAAGAGCTCATCAAATTAATCCAACATAAAGATGTGTACATTAAGATAAAATACAGTAAAAATTAGAAAACATTGAGACGCTTTGTCTCTGAAATCTCACTTGCGGGTGAGGATGCGATGACAGAAGACTAGTATTGTCCTATCAGGGGTGAGGCGGCAGTTCTGTGACACTTGCTGAGCTACTCAAAGTTTTTAAGTCCAAATTTTGTAATAAAATTAATACGAAGATTACATATGTTGATCTTGTCCCTGCGTGTTTGCGCTGCCTAAGATAAAAGTTGCAAATGGCCTATTATTCCTGTCTTCTTCAAGTATTTCGTAAATGAAAATATCTGCAAAACCAGCGAACATGTTCTGCGTAACTTTATCATAAAATTTAACATTTATTCTGTGCAGAAAAGCAGAAATCAGTTCCACTTTCAGGTCAGCATGGAGATTTTTGTTTCTAACGTGGCATGGAGCTCCACTGATTAAATCTTGTTTTGAATTTTTTGTAAGGAATATTGATGTCACTTTTCATGGCGCTTGCTAAAGTAGGCGATGCGTATGTAAGAATTTCCCGGATGACTGAGGTGTAAATTTGCCTTTTACGATATAGTGACAGGTGATCCTTTAGAAGGGAATATAATCTCAAGGCTACTCTCCACGCCGTGCTGAGAGGATGAGCAGAACGTAACTGAAGTATTTATAGCACCAAAATTCTTTACTTGAGTTCTGGATAGCATTTGGGCAAGAATTTTTGCAATGAAGAATACTGCAGGTGTCAGTGTAGATGCGAAAGAGGGTTGTATTTATGTTTTGGATCAAACATTTAATGGTCTATTATCAAAATTTTGTTAGTGATTGTCTTTCATATTTTATACTTTTAATATATTGATGGAGACACAAAAATGTGCATTTTCCAGTAACCTTTAAACGAGACTACACGAATAGTTCTATATAAAACTGCAGCAATATTGTATGTATGTGCTCCTTTCTTTAGAAAAACGCATGGTTTTTCCCTTTAGATACGGCTAGTTTTTAGAATAAATGAAAATAGCTCACTATTTGCGCATACAATTTTGAATAATAATACTCTATTTTTGAATATATTTTTCATGAAATAATTTTTATATTTATTTTAAAATTTTTTTTGTCTTAAATTAATGAAGGCAACTATACGAATCTATAATTTTTAATCTAGAGTTGAAATTTATTTTTTATGTATAACTTAAGTGCTTTATGTATAACTAATGTTATAACTTAAGTGCATTCTAATATTTCATGAATATTTCCGAAAATGAATAATATGACTAATAAAATAAAATAAATAAATTCAAAACATGCTAGAAATTGAGAAGATAAGTAGGTAAATGCTTCATGAATAAGCATAACTTCCAGTTTATGAAATCTTATTTTGAATACTAGAAATATTAATAGTGAAATTTTTAATACATTTTGTCATAAAATGTAAACTTTCGTTTAGAATTTACTGCAGATTTTTTTTTAATATCCTCATTTCTTTTTTACAATTTGACAGTGATTTTCATGAAAATAGCTCCTTTTTTGGAATGTGTCTTGCTTTCAAGAAACTCATTTTGTGCAACGCAATTTAATTTTAACTACGTAATTAAAACCTGTTAAAATGCAATTAAAAACATTTTGAATAAGAATTACGATCATTGAGTGCTATGTTTGTTAAAAATAATCTAATATATGTAGTATTTTAAAATGTAAAAACACGGTGTTTCTTCAATAAATTGGAATAAAGTTTAACTTTAATATTTTATATTTTCAATCTGATTATTTGAGACAAAAGGATATTTTAATCTCTCAGTCAAATTCAAGAAACAAAATTTTTAAAAGTTAAAATTAATATCAATAAAAGCAAACATATTTAGAACTTCAACTTAAGGATTAACTCAGTGCGTCAAAATACAATTATTTCATCAATGTCAGTCATAAGATAAACTTTAGAGTACGATAGGAAAGATCTAATTCACTTAATAATATTATTTTATTCATTTTGCATAAATAAACTTGATCTTCAGTTTTCAGCTTCCATGAAAAGCAGAAACAATTATACTTTTGTATGCTATCTAATTGCAGGTGGACGAATAGATCATTCGCATCATTTCAACAACGCTCATAGAGCACTAGTTGACACTCTGGCATTCGAAGAAGCAGTCATAGCAGCTCTGGAGATCACGCGATCGGATGATACTTTGATGGTCGTCACATCTGACCACTCTCACGTATTTGCCTTTGGAGGATATCCAAAACGAGGCAATCCGATTCTAGGTAAGTGAATGGAAATATGTGATGACAAAGTTAAACAATTGAAACATTTTCTGTAAATTTAACTTGAAATAGTAAAGAGAAATAAACTTAATTTTTAGTCTAGTAAAAGAATGCCCTTTCTCATATTATTCAATTATAATAATGATGGATAGTTAGGAAAATGATGCGCGTCAAAGATTTCATACAATTTTAAATTGTGTATCAATAAACTTTTTATTCCAATTTCATTTTAAACTGTCTAAAATTTCCATAAAATTATTAAATTTCCTATAAAGAGAGACTTTTTTTTTTTTTTGCTTTAAATTGTGTACATATATATATACCTAATAATATATAGCTTAGCTACTGAAATAAGTACTTTACTAATAAAAAATACCTTTAAATATATACCTTAGCTACTGAAATTTAATCTGCAATTTAAAAAGCAATACATTTCATCAGCTGTAAATTGGTGTTTAGTTAGAACTTTAAAATAAAACACGTGAATCAATTTTTAGTTAGAAGTTTAGAATAACATAATCAGGCTAAAATTCATATTAAAATCTTTTGCTAGGCATACATATGTAAATAGCAGTTAAATGTTTCGCAAAAAGAAATATCTTTAAACAAAATTAATGTTAGTAACGAAGCTGAATTCATTCATGTCAAACGCAATCGTTAAACTCTATTGGTTTAACTCTGAAGTGATAGAAAATGTTAAAATGCTTGCTAACTAAAACACATCTTCTTCATATCATGAATTCATTTATCTTGAAAATGGGTTCTTTGCAAGTTTTCTTAAAATTTAAGAAAAGTGGGCGCTACCGGTGCATTGTCATAGTGCTTGGCTACCATTCATTGGCAAGCAAGCTCAGTGTTTCGAAATTAATAACAGAAAATTCGAATAACATACGTAAATTCTAAATATTGTTTGCTTTGTCTATAGAAACCGTAAACGCATACATGTTTCTACATCGTACTTTACACAAAATTGTTCGTAAATGTTAAATAGAGTTGCTACAAGCTAATGAATTATGAAAAATTTGATATTTCATCATGATTATTACCCATATGTTAGCTATATGAAATTATGTTGGCTTTGTAGTCGTTGAGGAACTGAAAGTTGTTTTCACCACCAGAAATGCAAATCTCAGAAGATCGATGAACAAGTGCAACAATATCAGACTCATAACGGACACATCCAGTCTCTTCTGACGTGCTCAGCATTAGATTTAACAAAATTCTCATAATATCAGAGAAAGAAATCAAAGAGGAATGTACCGACTGGTCATGAAAAATAAATTACGAGTTCCTCCGACAAAATCCGTCGTGCCGGAAATGTTATGTTCGGATACTCTGACATTTCGGACGCTCTCAAAAGCTGAATTATTTTGGTGTCCAAGTTCTTGATAAAAATATACAGCATAAACTACTGTAAGGATAGCATGTAAGAATCGTCGCACGAAATGCTATAGGAATTTCTCATAAGTCAGCCAATCAAGTGGTAACGAAAGAAAATTTATCCCAAACAAGCACTCTCGAGCTATATCCATCCAGTCATTGGTGGTTTATGCCAACAGCATGACGGTATATGGCTCAGAATTATCATATGACCACATACTCGAAAAAGAAGCTTTATACGATAAGAAATTTTAATAGGGATAAGGATTTTTAATTTCGGTTGTGTTGAACGTTCTTGCAAAATACAACATGTGTTTGCCTCACCCTTCTTGCAATATCCTAACTGACACGCTAAACTGCCAGAAGAATTTCGCTCGAAATGTAAGTTTTCCCCGCTTTAGCGTTTTTCTGGAAAAAAAAAAAAAAAACTTCGTAAATCGAAATGATTTAAGGGGAAGAAGCAATAACCATTAATTGATGTGGAAAACAGATTTAGATTTTCAATCTGAAAATCAAACCATACTCTGAGTCATTTAAAATGCAAAATAATAGAATTTTATTAGTCTATTATTTCTATATTTCTATCTATAATATCATATAAATAGCATAAAAAGATGGCAGAATTTCATCTTTATATCGTGAAAAATGAGCGGTAATATTTGAAGTTGTATAAAGATGGGTTAAGTGCTGATGCGTCCCGATGTGAGAAATGTGGTGTTAAAAATATGCAGGGCAGATAGAGGATGTTAACCATCTAATTAATATCTCATCTTCCTGCATCATGGTATCCACAATTGCTCCAATATCCAACATCGAAATTTATTGCACTCTGGCTTATTAAGAAGACTTTAAGTAAGATATTAAGCTTGACTACAAAGGCCGGCATAATTTTTCTACCGCATAATTCATCGCAAGCAATCAAATTATTTTTCAAAAACTACCTTAAATCTGTACTGTATGTCGTAGTTGGTCATACGTTACGGTGAAAGAAGAATCATACTTTCTCTTTCATCTTATTTTGTAAAACTGAAAATTTTCGTCAGAATGAAAAAGTTACTAATTGGGGTACTTCGTAAAGCATATGATAACAGTAACTCCTTTGCTTACCTGTGGAATTGCATTAAAATGACCTGCACGTCTTTCCCTGCGAGTGTTTACAGATTACCTTATAGGTTATAATCCTGCCTATGTTTCTCATATCCTCCACTTTCACACAATTTCTGCTACAAACGTCTGATGATTGGGCACGCATTTAACGAGTAACCATTTACCAAATAATGGTACCGTGATTTATTTTCTTTAATTCTTAAGTGGATATCAACCTTATCCGCACGTAAAATAGATCTCATCTATTTCTGCAATAATATAGCGATATATCCTACTTATGCAAAATAAACGATTCAAATGACGTCTATCTCGAGTGGCCTAAAATGACTGTAGCAAGCAGCACCCTATAGCAACTTATGATAGGTCTCCAAATATATGTTCCTGTATGAATATTGTTTCTTTATGTACATCGAGTTTACTTAACTTAAAGTTGTACACAGACTTTTGAGTCAATTTCTCTCTCTCTCTATCTATATATATTGTGTGCAATAAATTCCGTATATAACTTGCGATTCTTTACTGGCTATATTAGAATGAATCCTTGTATTAATTTTACAAGAGCTGGTAGCGTCAAAGATGCATAACGAAAAAGAAACAACTTGCTGACCTGGTTATAGACAAAGCACAATTTATTCCTGGATATTCTTGAGATACATACTTTCAGTCACACATATTAGAGGTGCGATATGCACCCCATAACTTTGTATCGCTATTCACGTCTTTAGACAATAGACAAGACAGCAAGGTGAATAACACGGGCTGATAGAGCAGAAGGAAAGTGAAAATGTAAGTCCACATTTTAGCAGAAGAGAGAAACATAGAGTTGGTTCTTCGTTGTAATTTTGATCTGTTGATTGGACAAAAATATACATATTGCTACTCTTACATAAGATGCCATTAAGAGGATTACTTCTGAGATGACGCGCTTTAGTTTCATATATTCTAAAAAATGAGTCGTATTAAGACAAAATAGGGAATTAGCCAAATTAAAATGGGGAATAAAAAGAACTATTTCCAAATCAAAGTTAGTATATTTCTTTCATATTTCATATCTTACATATAATTTATATCCTAAGGTGTTCACACTATTCTTAAATAGACGTTAAATTTTCTCATTTCTGGCAAAGCTGCGTTTAAGAAAAATGGCATTAAAAATAACTACACAATTATCTAAACCTTTGAAATAGTCTAAACCAATTTCCTAAAAAAATTTCGAAATTCGGACTCAGTTATTTATGGATGTATATGAATTTAGTAAATGAGGATAAGAAGTGATAATGATAAAATTTGTAGTCCACATTTTAGTCAACATTTTGCGGGAAGCGAAATGAATGCGTAAGCAAAAACTTTTTCTAGCAATAAACTAAATTATTTATAATATGTAAGGAGATATAATATCGTAAAGAAATTCTAAGGGCATACATACACTAGCCTTTTCATTTAATGAAGGGTAGTATATGAATTTAATGATTAAATTAATTAACTGAAAATGTATAGGCCATATTAGTAGCAGAATATCATTTAAGATCCGCTCATCTTAGGGGGGAAAATCAATAAAATATGCAAAAAAATGTGTGCAAATGCCTTTCTTTTACATCTTTTTTAACAGCACGTTTTTATCATAATTTTGTTTTGGAAATGAAAGGAAAACCTATTATTTATAATTAGATTACAAAAATAATCTGTTCCATGAAAAAATATAATGAAAAAATAATATCGCTTTTCTCTCTTTTTTTTTTCCCGGGGATCGTTCCTAACGATCCGATTTCTGATGGAAGCGATATTAAATAAGGAGGAAGATCTCCCTTATATTATATACATTGTAGTCTTTACATAACTTTTATTGCATAATTTTTAATGGGTCTTTATTTCTTTTTGTGTAATGTTTTAGTGCTTTAATTTTAAAAAGAAGTATTTTCATTATTATAATCACGTCTATAAGACGATATTAATCATAAGTATTTCTACAATATATTAATAAGTACGGGAAAGAAATAATTTTCTGACAATTTTTTCGGTAGTGCGTGCAGCATAATAGTCTGCTTTACGGTAATACAAAATAGATCGCCCACGAAAAAGAAAATGGAACAAATATTATAACACTAACATAAGTTTAACATCGAATATCTTTCGTTAGATATTTCACAATACATATGACATTTCATAATTCATATGAAAGTTTTACATCGTCGTTACACGAGAGTTTGTTTTACATGCTCCTTTCATATCAGCGTATATGAGCAGCGTTGCCAGTTCTTGCGATTTTTCGCAAATTTGCTGCTTTTGACAAACCTGTGCTATTAAAATTTATGTATATGTGATTTTCGGAATTTTTTGCGACTTCATCATTTCCTTTTGCTGCCTTAAAATCTTTTAACCCCATTATAAAATACATATTTGTTAATATAATGTATCTATTGAAATTAATTTTTAATAAAAACAATTTATTTATACTTGACGTAGCCCGTGAACACATGTGTCGTCAGTTTTCAACGTAACTCGCCGGCATTTTC